ACATGTATTGGTTGGAGATATATCTACAGGCTATATCTCAAGCAAAATACCAGATTTACATAAGAACATAAGAATGTTGGATCAGGCCAAAGGCCCATCCAGTCCAACACTCTGTGTCACACAGTGGCCAGAAATACCAGTGCCATCAGGAGGTCCACCAGTGGGGCCAGGACATTAGAAGCCCTCCCACTGTTCCCCCCCCAAGGACCAAGAAGACAGAGCATCACTTGCCCCAGAGCCCCTAGCTATACCTTGTGGCTAATAGCCACTGATGGACCTCTGCTCCATATGCTTATCTAATTCCCTTTTGAAGCCGTCCATGCTTGTAGCCGCCACCACTTCCTGTGGCAGTGAATTCCATGTGTTAATCACTCTTTGGGTGAAGAAGTACTTCCTTTTATCCGTTCTAACCCGACCGCTCTGCAGTTTCATGGAGTGCCCACGAGTTCTTGTATTGTGAGAAAGGGAGAAAAGTACCTCTTTATCTACCTGCTCTATCCCATGCATAATCTTATAAACCTCAATCATATCTCTCCTCAGTCGTCGTTTCTTCAAGCTAAAGAGCCCTAAGTGCTTTAACCTTTCCTCATAGGGAAAGTGTTCCAACCCTTTTATCATTCAAGTTGCCCTTTTCTGCACTTTTTCCAAAGCTATAATATCCTTTTTAAGGTGTGGTGACCAGAACTGCACACAGTATTCCAAATGAGGTCGCACCATTGATTTATAGAGGGGCATTATGATATTGGCTGATCTGTTTTCAATACCCTTCAATATTTCTTAATACCCTTTCAATATTTCTTAAAACCATTTTCTCAAGCCCTAGATCTTATGATTAGAAATAAAAGTGACCACAGCATTTTAGCATTATAAGTCACTCTGACAAGGCTGTAACTACTTCCATTGGAGAATGCACATCTCAAGAACCATATTTTTACTGTAAACAAAGTATATTCTATTTACAAGTGCGTATGTCTGTGTGTGTATAAGTATTTTTTTAAAGCCCAGCTATTATATTGTTTTGGATGCTATGTACCCTCATGTACCATTTCAGCATTTATTGCATAATGGTATTTTTTTAACACTGTCATAACTGGATTTCTTTTACTTTTCTGCAGCTGAAGTTCAGAGTGAAATTGAACGAATATTTGAATTAGCAAGGACATTGCAGCTGGTAGTACTTGATGCTGATACTATTAATCATCCAGCTCAACTTAGTAAAACTTCGCTGGCTCCAATTATAGTATATGTAAAGATTTCTTCTCCAAAGGTAAATATTCTTAGCTATTTGCACACTTATGCATTCAGTTCTTAACTGTAGTGTGAAAAGGCACATTCCATTGCCAGTAAATATTGATGAATTTATGTGTGTGTGTATTAATTACAAGAGGGAAATACCATCAATAAATGAGGTACTATTCATACATAGATTTGCTGCATTGCTGAAGACCTCTTAAGCATGAAAGAATATCTCCCTTTGCTTTAAGACACTTTTGGTATCTGTACGTAGAGTTTCTTTCTACAGAGTTCAAAGCTTGACACTTTCTTTCCTTGTGCCTTCATAATTTAACTGCATCCCTCTTTTCCACAGGTTTTACAGAGGTTAATAAAATCACGAGGCAAATCTCAGGCTAAACACCTAAACGTTCAAATGGTAGCAGCTGATAAACTGGCTCAGTGCCCTCCAGTGAGTTATTCTTAATTTAGACTGCTGAAAATAGATTATTGGAATTCCTTCCCTCCTTCCTTCCTTCCCTCCCTCCCTCCCTCCTACCTACCTACCTACCTACCTACCTACAAAAATTGGAACAGGGTGGATTCTTGTGTTCTTTATATACATTAGTCACTACCCATGAGGGCAGAAAATCTCCAATTCTCCTGGCCCCAATTCAATGTGTGTCCATGTTTCAATTCAAGTTCCATACAGAAAGCACTTTTCAAAAAGCAGTAATCACATGCATCAGCTATGTGGCAAAGAAAACTAGCCTGCCTGCTTCCCAGCTAAACAGTTTATTGGCATGGTTAATGCTTTCCTAAAGGGATCCATGCATGGGACTCTAATACCTGGATTGAAGGGTGATCTGTATGCACACTGCCTGTTTGCATATGCAATTCTTCATTCAGTCATGGCTGAGTACATGGCTATAAATAAATAAATGTCCTATTTTGAACAAGCCCCAGGATACTGGGAATACCATAACTTTCCCTGGCATACTGGTCCCTTCTTTGTAAATAAACAGTTCCCCCCCCCCCTGATATATCTTACATTTTTCATTGACAATTGGAATCATGCCTATCAAATGGTAGAATTTTTTTCAGGATACTTTAACATAAGAACATAAGAGAAGCCAACATTGGATCAGGCCAATGGCCCATCCAGTCCAACACTCTGTCACACAGTGGCCCAAAATACCAGGTGCCATCAGGAGGTCCACCAGTGGGTCCAGTACACTAGAAGCCCTCCCACTGTTGCCCCCCCCCCAGCACCAAAAATACAGAGCATCACTTGCCTCCAACCGAGAGTTCCTATCTATACCTTCTGGCTAATAGCCACTGATGGACCTCTGTTCCATATGTTTATCCAATTCCGTCTTGAAGCCGTCCATGCTTGTAGCTGCCACCACCTCCTGCGGCAGTGAATTCCATGTATTAATCACTCTTTGGGTGAAGAAGTGCTTCCTTTTATCCATTCTAACCTGACTGCTCAGCAATTTCATGGAGTGCCCACAAATTCTTGTATTGTGAGAAAGGGAGAAAGTACTCCCTTTCTTCTAAGACTTTAGCCTCTTTTCATAGAATCATAGAATGTTAGAGTTGGAAGGGACCTTGCAGGTCATCTAGTACAACCCCCTGCACTCTGCAGGAGCATAGCCAAAAGATAGCCCTACATATCTACAACATACCCGAAAGATGGTCGTCCAGCCTCCGCTTGAAAACGTCCAGCGAAGGAGCATCCACTACCTCCCAAGGCAGACTGTTCCACTGCTCAACCACTCTTAGGAAGTTTCTCCTGATATTTAGCCGGTAACGACTCCCTTGCAATTTCCACCCATTAGACCTAGTCTTGCAATCCAGAGCAAGAGAGAATAGATCCACTCCATCTTCTACATGACAGCCCTTCAAATACTTGAAGACTGCAATCGTGTCCCCTCTAAGCCTTCTCTTTCCCAGGCTAAACATACCCAACTCTTTCAGCCTTTCCTCATAAGACTTGGATTCCAACCCTCTCACCGTCCTGGTTGCCCTCTTCTGGACACGCTCGAGCTTGTCAACATCCTTCCTAAAATGTGGTGCCCAAAACGACACAGTACTCCAGGTGAGGCCTGACCATAGCAGAATAGAGCGGAACTACCACCTCCCTTGATCTGGACACAGTGCTTCTATTAATGCATCCTAAGATTGCATTAGCTTTCTTCGCAGCCACATCGCACTGCAGGCTCATGTTTAGCTTGTGATCAACCAGAACACCTAGATCCCTTTCACATGTGCTACTGTCAAGCCAAGTCCCTCCCATTCTATATCTGTGCCTTTGATTTTTTGTACCTGTGTAGGACTTTGCACTTCTCTCTATTGAAATTCATTTTATTTGTCTCAGCCCACTATTCCAGCCTATCTAGATCATTTTGAATCCTGACTCTGTCTTCTTCAGAATTAGCAATCCCACCCACCTTCGTGTCATCTGCAAATTTGATAAGCATCCCCCTATGTCTTCCTCCAGGTCATTTATAAAAACATTGAACAACACCGGGCCGAGGACCGAGCCCTGGTTCTGTGTGCTTTTAAATTGTTTATGAACTATCACATGAATTTTATGACAAATTCAGTCAACATGGTTACTTTGGGGTCATTAATAGGTTTGGTTCATTATTATTTTTTTTGGTTCCAATGGTTGATGTGACTAAACTACCCTATTTACAGGAAATGTTTGATGTGATTCTGGATGAGAACCAGCTTGAAGATGCTTGTGAGCACCTAGCTGACTATTTGGAAGCATATTGGAAGGCCACACATCCTCCTAGCAGCCATTCCCCCAATCAGCTCCTAACTCGCACCCTGGCAACTGCCACTCTTCCTGTCAACCCTAGCACAGATACTAACTTACAGGTAAAGTATTATTCAGACTTTCTCCCTGGAGCCTGTTGCAAGTGCCAGTACCATTCAAAGGCATTATAGCGGCTGTGTTTGTGCTGTATTTACTGTATAAATACATAACACTTGTCCCCTTAGCTTTTTGATCTGATACAGATAGAATTTTGCATAAACCAACAGTTCCATTCATATTTGGACTTAGTGGCTCAAGAGTTATATGTGGCTTTTAGACGTGCCTGCTATGACTCTTCCAGGTACTGTTTTCCATGGTATGTTCTAGGAAAGTGGTCAACTTCTTAGAAATTGGGATAATGTTTAAAACACAACTCACCTTGTCCATGCCAATTATATTAAGGTTGTGGATACAGAGGAATTCTATGTGAGTTTGAATCAACATATATAGCTGTGGAATGCTAGCCATAGAACAGAACTCCTTGTGAGTAAAAAAAACTTAGGCCCTGGTCACACGAGCTGGATATCGCGGGGGGAAGGCGTGGTTAATTGCCCCGGCGCAGTTTGATCCGCGATTACGCGATCAGACGCACCGGCGGCACACCACGGGTCCTTCCCTCGGTGCCGGCGGGTAAACGAGGATGGTGATCACATGACGATCCTGCAGCGCGGCAAAGAAGCAGCGCGGCGCAATCACACGAGCAATGGCTAGGCGTTGCCGCCATGACAAACGGGGCCATTTTTTTTTAAAGACGAAACAGCACTTTCACTTTTCTCTTTGTGTGCATGCGCCGTTGGGTGCTTGTGCGCATCTTGTGGAGACTTGGGGGGGTAACCTGTTTGCGAAGGGACATGGGCGGGCGCCAGATGCCACCACCGGAAACGAGATCAGACGCCAGCCCTTGCCCCGCGGTTTCTGGAAACTAGTACCTTGGAGGTACTAGTTTTTAACTCCGCATCTTCGGCAGGAAGCCTCAGGTTCGCCACGGGAGCTCTACGCTTCCCAGATGTTGCGGTGTGATCGCGCCCGGAAAATCCGCCTATCTTCTGTCTCTGTAGCGTGGCTAATGCTCCGTGTGACCGCAGCCTTAGTGAGGAGGGAGGTTCTAACCAACTTTTCTCCCGCAGAACTAAAATAAAACTTGAGGATGAGGGACTTTTTATAGAGAGAAGCAGTTCGTTAAACACCCAGCCTAATAGAGTAATGGAGAACTCAAAACCTTGCACACTGTTCTGTGTCATAACTGTGACTTGCAAACCCTTCTCACTACAGATACACAAGGCCCA